AAGTTGGGTGGACACTTTTGTAACCGTACCAATCATCTCCTCACTAATAGCCTTTATGCTTGGTTTTAAGCTCTCGTATAATAGAGGCTTGCTGCTTACAGATGAAGGAGTCTCGGTTCTGTTGAAATCTGCTGACATCTTAAGGGCGACGTTTTCCAAATCCAGAGAAATATCATCCTCTTTGAGCCAAGTTGCAAGTTTTAAGCATGCTTTTGCCTTCAAAAAGGCCACACCAGCATCTAAACATACTGGCTCTAAAGCAGTTACCTCTGGCTGTACAAATGACCAAAGATCCGCAGCAGCATTTTGAAATTTGTTTTCTGCATACATCAGCAAGGCTCTCTGGTACTGCAAATTTAATATAAGAAATTCACGCAACTTAACCTCAGCACAACTGGATACATGCTCATTCAGATAGTCTTTAAGACGATTCGCAAGCAATAAATTTCCTTGCTTGCGGGCAACTCCAAACAAGTCCATGCAGAGCTTCAGAGTAACCCAAGAAGTTGGCAGAATTGTCCGATAAATCCGTAGAACTTTTAACCAAGGGCTGCAGTCACGATGAATTCTATTGAGTAAAGACTGCATTGACCAGACGCAGGAGCTTAACATCAAACTACTTTGTTTCTGTTTAGGTTCACTGTCTCTCAGCTGATGACTCTCTTCAAAAGCAAAGAGGCAATGCAACTGTGTGGCATATGGCGCTGTCTCAGATAATCCATCAAATGACAGAGCCAGTGAAGTTTCATCTAGCATTGATCGGACCTTCTGTAAGGTCTGTGGAACCTTTTGGGAATTTCCATCAGCTTGGAAAAGCATTGCCTGTAGAAGCATCTGTTCGCTTCTTTGCAAGGCCAGCTTTGGATCAAGTGACAGTTCAGCACTAGTTTTTGGCGTTAAGTCAAGACAAGTCCATGCGGTCTGAATATCACCTTCATCGAAACGTGCCAAGGCCTGTATTGCATTCATTTCATTTCCAGCAGCGGTTAAAGAACCTGAAAAGCTTTTGCCTGCATGCCTTGCACGAAGTGCCTGCAACTCTAAAAGCCAGGACTCAAGAGATTTCCAATCCGATAAAGCAGTATAACTCTCAATTATCCGTTCAATCACAAACTGAATGCCATCAGAACCCATAGAGCTGAGACAGTCCTCTTCCTCTAATAAATGAGCAAAATATGCAGCCGCTTTCTCATATCGTCCTTCTGACTGATAAACCAACCCTGTGATCCATGGAAACAGCGCCAATTCACCATTGTGCTTCTGAAAGTCGCTTTCTTCTGTGACCAAAGGTGTTAAATTCATTGAAACCCATTTGTGAACGCCAACCAAAGAATTTGAATCGTGATTCTGACACAAAGCCAATGACAAATATTGTAAAATTCTTGAGATGTCCGAAGATATCCGAGCTCCAGTATTGTGAGCACTGTCAAAAGCCTGCATTTTAGACTTTTCTTTCGGCACTAATGTTGCAAGACCTTTTAGCTCTTCAAGCCGCAATGTGCAATACTCAACTGTCGCATCGCGAGACTGGAGTGATATACCAGCATTCATCATTGGTTCAGATATACGAGAAAACCATTCTTCACAAACTTTCCGGTTAGCTCGGAAAAATAGGACACTTTGTGGAAGCGCTGAGGATAAAACAGCAGTACCCTCATACGCGTTGTACACGTTTTTTTTCAACGCCTCCACAAAATCCAACAGTAACCTCATTGGTAACAGATGGGCACCAGAAGAGCCTACAATATTTAGGCTTCCATCAGTTTGCTTGCTATCGACCTGCAGCACAGTTGTGATGTCTAAAAGCATTCGCTCTAGGGCTGCGAAAGTTTGAGCAGGACCACCAAAGTTAGTACGGAGACGTGTACTAACACAAAACCTAGCAGCTTCATGCACGGCCCACCAAGCGCCTGCCAGGTTGTTTGCCAAGCAGATTCTCTCAATCGAGCTTTTCTCCACTTTTATCGCCAACCACCCATTCTTAAACAGGTTTTCATCAGGATACCCAACACCAGTATCCTTTGATCCTCGAAAAGCATAAATAACCAACTGGATCCAAGAAGAAAAAGGAACTTTCCATCTCTGGGAAACATAATTCAAGACAGAAACAAGTTGCTGCGAGTGAAAATGTTGGTCCAGTTGCTTCAATGCAAAGACTTGCTTCCAGTGCAAATAACCACTTCCTAGCATAAGAACTTGTGGCCTAAGATTCATATGTTCTAACTCACTGTGCATGCCACCAGCGTACTGGGTAGCTGGCAAGAGATGAGAAAGCAACTTAATGAATGCATTCTTTATACTCGTATCTGGGTCTCCAAGCTTTTCAAGAAGGATTTCAGCCAGGGAGTAAAAATGAATTGGGTGTATCAGCTTTACCTCCAGAAGCAGCTCTAAAACCATTGCAGACTGACTCCTCACTTTTGGTTCACTATCAAATGCAGCATCTAAAACCGCCATAATTATATCTCTAACTGCAACAGAGTATGGAAATGTTTCACAGAAGTAAGTATCCATAGACAAATTCTTCAATATTGTATTCAGGTTCTCACAGAAATTTTGAATCCATTCTAGGGACACTAGCTTTACAGCAAGAGGGGATGAAAAATGAAGAGCTTTAACCATGGTCAAGCTGTATTTCCTTACATGCTCAATTATAATGGTAAAAAATGTAGACTTGAATGGTGTCTTTCCATGATTTGTTTCTCTAAGAGCCTTGCTGTCAGGCTGAATTAGCACAGAACAATTGCTAAGGAGCTCAACTGCAGCTAAACACTCTAACATCCTCAAAACACTGACTTGCAACTCCAAACAGACAGCAATAGCTGACTCAAAAGGATTCAGCTTTTCAACAACAAAGGAAACTAACTTCTCACACCTCTTAAGATACAAGACAGCAAGTTCGGGTAGATCACTCAAAAATTTTCTCCCTCCAAGAGATACACAGGAAAGAAGAACCTTCATATCAAACTTAATCATTGCCAAAAGTTCATCTTCTGAATAGGATTCATAGTCTGCAACATTGAAAGTCTTGTTTTGGTGGCCCGATGAGTCCCCAAGTATTGCCTTCAACAATTCAAGTTCTTTTATCAATAATTCTATCGCCTGTTGAACAACTTCTTCACTCTCATGTTGAAGCAAGAATATGTATGTGGCAGAAGAGCCTGCTGTAATTAAATGGTTTGGGTGCAATCGCAACTGAGATATTGGAGATTCAAAGCGAAGCAACTTCAGCACAAATGATGAGAGGAGGCCTCGCTTTTGTAGGGACAGTAACTGAAGATTGGTTTTCAAGGTCCCATGGATCTGAAAAGTTGTCATCTTTCCATGAACTGCAGAATTCACAGAATCAGTATGTTCTAAGCTCTTGAATAACATTTCAAGAGAAGGAGAATAATACATTGAAAACTTTTCGCGCAATATTTCTGCCAGAAGAGTCAAGCACTTCCATAGATCTTCGATCCATTTTGCCCATCCAAACCTCTGCCCCATGGTAGATAGGCAACCCAATAGCCGAGGAAGCATTTTGCTCAGAGGTTCGTCCATCTTGTCAAGCAGATTGTTCTCTAGTAATCCAGACGCAGTGGACCTCAAGATTGCTAAGAAACAAGAAAGCAAAGCAAGCAACCTGTGAAACTGTTCTGGGGTTCCTTGACTACCATCGCTAAGCAAGACATCCATGTCACCCAGAAACTTCGATAGCAATCCAACTGAGAAATCTAAATTATTGACCCAATGTTTCTGAAAGTGCAAGAAGCTATCCATGACAATCTGTCTGTCAGACTCAGTGTGGTCTTGTACTAATGCCCAACCAAGCAACATATCAACAATGTCAAGAAAATGAGGATGAAACAAACCAGAAAATTTCGAAGAGATCAACGAAAGAACACCCACTGTCTGATTCAACAAAGGTATAGAAGTTCTCTCATCTTCAAGAAGTCCTTTGCACGCGATGAGGATTGGCAAAGCATACCTATCTATACCATTGATGTCCCCAACAGAAAGAAACTCCCGGACACCTTCAACAGCAAGTACCGTGCTCCCATCTCGAACACTAACATGCCTAAGCAACGGCAAAGCCCAATTAATAAAACGATCAACAAGACTCCCTAGCATCACATGGTTTTGTCTTCCACTGGATTCTACAGGAATAGAGCACACAATAGCACAAAGAGCACCATATGCAGACACACCAGCCTGTCTCACATCATAAGACCTACACAACAGAGAAAATAGTATCTAATCAAACTCAAAATCAAATTCTGATTGAGAGAAGAAACAGTATGTCAAGAAGGCAGAGATAATTACTTGTCGGAGAGAAGCTGCCAGAGACCAGAAGAGAGAAACGAAGCTGAATGAGCGATAAGAAGCGAGTTAGGAGGGTAAGTAATTGCTCTGTGGAGAGACTTCAAGGCAGCGAGACGACCCGAATCGTTATTATCCAATTTAGCATCCCTTTGTCCCGATGAAAGTAAAGGAACTGAGGCATTGTTACTAGCCGTCGACGAAGCGACGGATTCCGAGGAAGAAGAAGTAGGAGTAAGCGTGGACGGCAGAGGAGAAGCGGAGGCAGCCGAGAGCAGCGAAATCAGCTGCTGCTGCTGATGGTGGAAGCTTTGCATCATCAACTCGATTGTAGCTTCGGAGACGGTGACGATTGCAACGGCGACGATGGCCGATTTTGCATCTCTCTTTATTATTTTCTCCTCAGAAACTCTTCGCTTGTTTTCCTCTCATGTGCAAGAAGAACAAAAGAAACTATACGGGCAAAGTTGTGAATATATAAATTAATGTGGGCTAATTAGAAAACAGGCAAAATTATTTGTTAATCTGATTTAGGGTCAAAATGTAATTCAATAAGCTTGAGGTTGTTTGCGAATATTCACAACATTTGGGAACTGGATAGATATATATATATATTACTTTCCCAGAGATAGACATTATAGAGAACGGTGTGCCCTAATTCCTACCGGAGAAGAGAAAAAGGTCTTGAAACTCCGGCGATGTCATACGACGATGTGGAGATAGAGGATATGGAGTGGAACGAAGAGATTCAGGCTTACACTTATCCTTGTCCTTGTGGAGATTTGTTCCAGATTACGAAAGAAGATCTCCGTCTCGGCGAAGAGATCGCCAATTGCCCAAGTTGCTCGCTCTATATCACCGTCATCTACAATATGGAGGACTTTCAGAACGATACCAAGAAGAACAACGAACCTCAAAGTCGCCAGCCTATCGCCGTCGCTTGAGGTAAACCTCCCTAATCTGATTTCAGATTTTTTAAGAAACTGGAAAGCTATGTCATTGTCTGCTTAAACAAAACTGGATTTGTAGAATCTCTTAGTTAAGATACGAAAACTGGCTATGTTGACATGGTTTTGGTGCAGTTGTTTAAGCTTTTAGGTTGATTTGATAGTCCTTTGTTTCATGCTTGAGATGGTACTGGTACATCACATGCTTGTGTTTTGATCTTGAAGAAGATAAAGCTATTTACTTTCTTGAGCTGCATCGATTCAAAAAACAGTCTTTGCCTGAATTAGCTCTCAGCTCATTAAGGGTTTTTGTTTAGGTAGATGCTTATGAAATCTGGATGTGAAAAGTTTCGAGAGTTTTACTTCCTTTTCTGGAATATCTGTTGCTCTTTTCAGTACTACTTGTTGGATGTTAAACTCTATCAAAACGTTGGTCGAAAAGCGATTGTAGTTTTCTCCTTGAGCTTTTGTTTTGCTAGTGAAAAATTAGTTTGTGAAGTAATTGCAACTAATGATAAGATAAGAAGACGACCTGCGGTCACGAAAAGAAACACCCCAATTACAGTCTTCCTTCTGCCGCTTTTTCGGATTACTAACTTATGTGAGGATATGTTGCTACTTTGCAGATTGTCACAGAATCGATTATATGTAAACAGCAGAAGAGTTTATACATTCTGGTGTGCATAGTTTTGGAAAGCATATGGGAAGTGTGTCACCATCCTTAGATTACGGGTATTACATTAACAACATATAGAGATAAACAAGGAGTCAGAGGTGTTGTGTTGCTAGTCATATATCATTATTAAAACCCAATTCTTGTTGTTTTCTTGCGTATTTAGATCAGATAAATTATTTAGAGTACACTTTGATTTGGTTTGAAAAAGGTTTGTAATGGCTACATTGCCTCAGTTTGGAGTTTTTCATTTTGATGAAGATGATAAAAACACAATTTATCATCTAGTTAGTAGTATCAAGATCTTTTTATGTTTTCCATATACAAGAAGACTGTTCTTATCTCTGTGATTCAGATCCAAAGCTAAGATATGTATCAAGTTCATAAAATATATTCTTAGGACCAATGTTTCGCCCCCTCTGTCACCATCATTAGAGAGTATGGCAAATAGAAAAAGCTTTAAATTTCACGAAGAAGACACAAAGTTAACAAAGGCTCAAAATTACAAAGACATCGGGTGGATTATATGATTTTGGACTAATGTTATCATTTAAGTCTAAACCCTATCGATTACAGTGTGTAAATCAAATGTAATCAGAATTATAAAAATTTATGTTTAGTAGCGAAAAAGACTAAACCAATTCTTACCTTTTTTTATTTTGTTGGTTAATGAGAAATGACTAATTTGGGAGACAGAGATCCATTTTTACAGCCTAAATAACCGTTTGGCGAGTCTTAACTCCATAATTTCATTTCCTTTTGAATGATCCTAAACCCAGAAAAACTCACCCTCCAGATAATTTCTTTCTGATCCTAATCCGTTCTTCATAAGATTCGATACATATATTCTGGATTTGGAAAGGTACGTCGTCTACCAAAACTAAATCTGTAAACCCTTAATACCATTACCCATTTCGTGATGATTGTGTTCATAGGGTTTTCTTGGAGGTGAAGAAACCAAGGGTACCTGAGAATGGTGAAATTAACAATCTTAGGAAAGGGCACTATAACAATC